TTCTTCAAGTTTGAGTTCCTCTGAAGCTGAAAATACTCCACAATGGTTCAGATCATTGACTGAAGTTTATGAAGCTACCCAAGCTTTATTTGTTGCGGATCCTGTTAGTTTTGAAGAAGCAGCAACAAAAGAAGAATGGCGCAAAGCAATGGATGAAGAACTTACAGCTATAAAGAAAAACGACACATGGAAGTTAGTGGATCTTCCTAGCAACAAAAAAGCCATTGGAGTCAAGTGGGTCTTTCGGACAAAGTTTCTAGCTGATGGAAGCTTACAAAAGGATAAAGCAAGGCTCGTGGTGAAGGGATACTCACGGGAACAAGGTATTGATTATGAAGAGACATTTTCTCCAGTTGCACGTTTTGATACTGTGAAGACAATTTTAGCATTGGCTGCACAAATGCATTGGACTGTTTTTCAGTTTGATATTAAGTCTGCGTTTCTGAATGGAGACCTACAAGAAGAAGTTTATGTCACTCAACCTGAAGGGTTCATTGTTGAAGGTGAAGAAGGAAAGGTGTACAAGCTGAAGAAGGCACTCTACGGGTTGAAGCAAGCTCCACGTGCATGGTATAGCAAGATAGACTCTTACTTCATTGCTAATGGCTTTCAAAGGAGTAGGTATGAACCAAATCTTTATGTGAAGAAAGCTGGTAAAACTGATATTCTCCTTGTTTGTCTTTATGTGGATGATATGATTTATGTGGGATCTTCTACTTCTCTCATTACTGAATTCAAAGATTGCATGAAGCAGAAGTTTGAAATGTCTGATTTGGGGCAGTTACACTACCTTCTTGGGCTTGAAGTGGTGCAAGTTGAAGATGGAATATTTGTATCTCAACGGGAATATGCTACTGATTTACTTAAGAGGTTTAATATGTTCAATTGCAAGATTTCATCCACACCAATGAATTTGAATGAGAAGTTGCAAGTTGAAGATGGTACGGAATTAGTTGATGAGAAGAACTTCAGAAGTCTTATTGGAGGACTAATCTATTTGACTCATACACGGCCAGACATTAGCTACTCAGTTGGAGTTATTTCCAGGTTTATGCATCGTCCGACAAAGCATCACTTTGGAGCTGCAAAGAGGGTGCTGCGTTATATTGCTGGAACTACAAGTTTTGGGTTGTGGTATGGTCATGTTTCAGAGTTCAAATTGGCTGGTTATTCGGATAGTGATTGGGCTGGATGTTTGGAGGATAGAAGAAGCACCTCAGGTTATGTTTTTAATCTTGGATCAGCTGCAATTTGCTGGAGTTCTAAGAAGCAAGCCACAGTTGCTTTATCTACTTAAGAAGTTGAATTTGTAGCTGCTAGTACATCCGCTTGTCAAGCTGTTTGGTTAAGGAGGATTCTTGCTGATCTTGATCAGGAACAACTTGAAGCAACTGAGATTCATTGTGACAATATGGCTGCAATTTCTATGTCCAGAAATCCCACTCATCATGGAAGGACTAAACATGTTGATATAAGAGTTCATTTCATTCGAGACCTTGTTGCTGAAAATTCCATTACTTTGGAGTACTGCAGTACTGATGAGCAAGTTGTTGACATTCTTACAAAGTCCCTTCCTCAAGACAAGCATGTTTACCTGAGATTAAAGCTTGGTGTTTGTGACTTTGAATCAAGGGGGAGTGTTAGAATGTGATTCAAAGTTTACCATGGAAGATTTACTATTGACTAAGTCTTGCTGCAAAAATTAGTTTTAATCTTTCTGTTGCTTGTTTTTTTGTTTCAGTAGTTGATTTTAGGCATGGATAATGCCAAGATTTTTTTCTTCTACTCAGTTGAGTTGTTATTCTGTAAAGCCTATAAAAAGGTATGTCATTTCATGAATAAAGTGCAGCAAAAAAGAAAAACTATCATTCTGTCTACATTTTGATTTTTATATTCCTAAGTTCCATTTTTCTTTTTGGTCATCTGATTCCATTCCAACAGCTTTGAATGGTAATGTTTCATCAAGCAGTCACGGACCCACGTTGGGGCTGGGGTCTCAAGCACCTCCGACTTGCCAGAGAAGTCCAGATTTACCTCTGGTCGGAGCCCATCGGAGTTGTATTTTCTTCTTTCAGCTCCCTCTGACGTGAGAGTGGAGGGGCTTGAAGAAGACGGAAAGCCAACTCTATGAGGCTAGTGTTTTATTGTTATGATTTGATGTTTTATTTCCCGGCGGGAGAGAGGAGTTGCAGCATTGAAGGGAAGGAAGAAGATGATGACTAGGATTAAGTAATTTGATAATTTTAGAAGTTGGTCCTAGAGTTTAAACATACTGCAGATATACCCCATATCACTTGAAATTGTTTCTCTTAACCTTTTGTTAGAATTTCAATCCCTTAACTATCCCAAAATATGATATCATCCCAACAATTAAGTATTTGTACATTATTGAAAAATACATTATTCTTTTAACAATGAATTAAAAAAATATATTATCACACATTCCAAATAAGTCTTAGACTTTCTTTTATTTAAAAATCTAAATTTTACACCTTGTGAAAAGTAACATACGATAATATAAAATTTATGATATACATTATTGAAAAGTTCTAAGAAATCCAATGCACAGCAAGACCCCCAAACATAAGAACCTGGTTCCGCCACTGTCATCAAGCAATATTGATCCCTCACTTCCCTAAACAAAGCAATCGTGAAAATAAAGTTGGGTCAATGACACTGCCATCCTACGCTCACGGGAGATGGCTGATTGAACCGTTGTACGGATGCATGAAAGCAAATTGGTTAACAACATTGCAGATCTTCCTTATACTCCCCTTCTGTCCTGTTGGGGGTGAAATATCTCCCATCTTGGTCATAGCCGCAACAAATTCGTCAAAAAATGATTTAGGGTTTACAGTGTGTCCGCTGACGTGGCTGTCAGTGATACCTCCATTTAACAAAACTTGGTCCGAGATGAGAAGACCGTTCTTTTGCTATAAGTTTTTGAAGTTGTTGTTATTGAACGAATTTCGTGTGACCAAATCAAGTGGAGATAATTTGTTGTCTCCGCCGGTGTTTGGGCAAGTCCTTTGCCGGGTGCTGGTGAATCTTGGATCAATATCCTATGATGTTTATAACTTAGGCAGTTTTCCCTACCAAATATGTAAAAAGAGTAATAATATTCATCTCACCCTTACATCTCATCTTAGATATCAATTAATTATTAGATAATCTATTTTCTCTAATTGGAAGACCACTTCGTAGTTTACATTTAAATAACTTAATATAAATGTTGTAATTTTTATCAGTATTGGTTTAATTGACGTATCATTTACAATATTATAACTTTTTCCAAAAAGCTTCATTTTTTTGAGGTTAGGATTTATTTATTTTAAAATTTTTCAGATATAAAAATACCAAAAAAGTCTATATATGTATATATATACACACACACACACATATATATATATATATATATATGTATATGTATGTAAATACTCCGTATAAGAGAAGAATTTCTAAAATATTTTGCCTTTGATGGGCCCAACCCATTCCAATAGATGAGCTCACCCCACATTCGAATTGACTTGAGACTGATCTCGTTTCTTTTTGTAGGATATAGAAAAGACTCTCATTTCTATTCCAAGTCCAAGGCCACTCCATTGATAACCTTCATTCATGAAATCCATTTTCCCAATTATTTTATTTTATTTTTTCGGTACATAGACTCAATTTTGATTATTCCTTTTGTCCCAAAATAATTTTTCAAATAATGAGTGTCCATTAGAAAAATTATTTTGGGACGGAGTGAGTATATACGACTTAGTCAAATGTTGAGTGTATATTCGTTTCTACAATAAAAGAGATTACAATCTGTGACAAAACTAAAAAAAAACTCGAATAACAACTTTACGTGGGTAAAATACATTATTTAACGTAACTAATACAGTTAGTTTACATATACATAATAAACGATTGACAAATGACAAAGAGACGCAAGTAGCTGCATAAAAGTATAAAAGTGATACAATCGAGGTTGCTATTCTTAGGTACCGCTGGAAATGGTATTCTCGCAACGTTAGATATTCTCCCCACCCACCCACCCCCCCGGAAAAAAAAATAAAAATAAATAAATAATTCAATGAGATGGGCAGTAATTAAGAAACATTGAAACTAATAGTTTCCATAGTAGGATTTGAGTTGGTTGAATATTACGAGTCAATATGTTGACATGCAACCTAAGAATTGCGTTCCCGCACCGTCAATTACCAAAAAATTGCTAAGCGCACTTTAATTCATTGACAAGGTATAAGTGCCTCTCTCGAAGCCAAAAAGAGGGTGTGTATGTGCTTTTATAATCGCACAACTACAAGTAATTAACTTGAGCCACAATCTTGTGTATATGGGAGTAGTTTTAATTTTTTCTCCTACATTTCGATACTTGGAACAATAAATATCTTAAAGGAACTTGAAATATTATAAACTAATTAATTAGGTAAAGTGATTTAACGGATACATTTCCGCTTTGATGGTTCTAATAATTTGCTGGAAACACAAACTCAAGCATAAGTGAAAGATGATGAAGATGTATTACCACAAGTAGTATAGTAGCTGACGGGCCTTTTCCCAAACGTACGTGCTATAAGTGTAAATTTTTTCATATTGTAGGGTGTCTACCATTGACACCAGTGACTAATCCCCTCGCTCATGGTAAGCATTTTGATAAATAAAAGAGTTGATCAAAGAATTTAAGGTTACTTCATGCTATGGCGCCGTTGTGTTGTAAGTGTAAATTCAAAGTGTAAAAACTCACAAACACCATATTCTTGACATGCATTTGTACTTTAGTTTATTGCTGCATTTTCCATTCAATATTATTAATTATTAGTACAGCCCAAACTACAAAGAACTAAAGAATATCGACTTAAGTGCTATATACACACTTCAACTGAAAAGAAAGACACGAAAAGAATAGCTCATCAAAAGACCATGCACACACTTGTACCAAAACAAAAAAAAAAAAAAAAAAGACCATGCACACGATCGAAACCGACTTATTATTAGCTGACGGCGCTGCAGATCTTCCTTATAATCCCGTTCTGTCCCGTCAGGGGTGAAATATTTCCCATCTTGATCATGGCCGCGGCAAAGTCGTCGGAAAATGATTTAGGGTTTGCGGCGTATCCGTCGACGTGGCTGTCAGTGGTGCCTCCACTGAACAAAACTTGGTCTGAAATGAGAAGACCTTTCTTTTGCTGCAAGTTTTTGAAGTAGTTGTTATCGAACGAATTCGGGGTCACCAAATCAAGCGGGGCCAAGTTGCTGTCTCCGCCGGTGTTTGGGCAAGTCCTTTTGCGGGTGCTGGCGAATCCAGGATCGATATCGGTGCCGTTGCTGTAAATCCTTTGACGGAAAGTGAAACATTGCGCTTGTCCTAATGTGTGAGCTCCTGATAATGCCACCATCTCTCTAGCGTTGAAACCTTTTGAAGAGAAATTGGAAATAAGAGTCGGAAGATCGGAGAACGGACTTGGGAGATTAGCATCGGCGAGAGACCGGCTCGCCGTCGTTGAATCCCTTCTTCCTAGCTTCACATCCCATGATGGACCGCCAACCTATATAAATGAATCAAAAGAATAGAATGCATGTCACGTTTAGCTACGTACGTACATTTGATAATTGTTGCTTTGTTCATTAGTTACACAATTTGTGAGATTGGTATTTCATTAATTAAGTAGGAAAAAAAAAGTTAATGTAAAATATGACTTACCGCAGCGGATGAATCTCGGGCCGCAACGGCGAGAATGTCAGCACAAGAAACGACACTGGGGCAGATTTTCTCGACCTCGCGCTTAGCGTCTTCTATAACGTTATAACCTCTGGCTGAGTTTTTGTTCGCCAACGAAGTCTTCTCGCTCTGAATTGTATCGGTTTGATCCAGCAATATTGATCCGTCACATCCCTGAACAAAGCAATCGTGGAAATGAAGCCGGATCAATGACGCCGCCATCCTACGTTCACGGGATATGGCTGATCGGACCACCGTACGGATGGTGGTGAGCGCGTTAGGACACGTTCCGCTGTAGAAACTACTAGGTGACAGTTGAGCTTCAACACCAAAGCTCGAAAGAAGTAGCAATAAGGTTGTTAGAGCAGAAAAGGTGGTAGATACTATATTAATGGAACCCATTTTTTTGTTATTGAAAAAAAATTTAACTAGCTAGTTGCTGAATCTGAAGAAAAAAATGATGGAATTTTGGGAATTCGGAACGATAGATGATATGGGTTTTGTGTGTGTTGGAACTCAAGACGAAGTAATCAAGATGAGCTGATTGATGAAGAATATTGGAATGAAACTCTCCCTTTTATAGGTGAAGGGCAAAGGGAACAAGATTTGGCAAACGAGGGCGTAGACAAATATGCCATGCATGAAAGTAGATGCGTTTTGGTGGGTCGTTATTGGCTGCTGCTACTAATTTTAAAACAGGAGATTGCATGAAACGCGTACTCATCACCACTGTTTCACAGCTAAGGAGTGTTTGAATAAGTTTGACCTAGTTCGATCATTTCGAATTTTATCCTAAAAGTAGAGTTAAAACATATGTATATGTTGATTTGAATTTTCTACCCTGCGCGTGTATTAATATATTGATAAATGATTATGAAGAGAAATACTCCGTTATTAAGTAGTAACTTTTTCATGACAACATGGTCGGTCGGTCAACATCAGAAGATCCACGTCGTAGTAGGCATTATTAATTATTATTGTGTAGCCACCGCCTCCACGCCCTTTTACTTTGTTTTATTTTAACTTTATCCGTTGAATAGTGTATGAATGGAGGAATGTGCGTCCTGAACTGATTCCCTCTCCATTATCGCCTCAACAAAAAAAATTCACGTACTTTCGGTTATGGCTAAGTAACACAACCCTGAATTTTGATGGGTTTTTTTTTTCCCCTTAAATCATAACAATATACTTCCTACGGTTCTTAATATAAGTCATTTTTATTTGTCTCAGGTTTCATCTAGTACGCATTTTCAATCGAAAAAAAAATCTTAAAAATATATTTTCACAATGATTGTGTTCTCTTGATTGTTATGAAATATTTTTAAAGTTTATTTGTCAATTAAAAATACGTGTTAGGTAAAAACTAGAAAAAGTCAAAATACTTTATAATAAGGACGGGAAGGAGTATCATATTAAAAATTCTAACATAGTCCGTAAAGAACTTAAGAGAGTATACTGGCTTGAAGAGAAATCTGTGGGTGTTTTTCATACATTTGTTCTACTATATTTCGATAATATAGGAATAATAACAAAATGTACTTGTAGTGGGCATATTTTTTGAGATAAAACTAAAACTATAATACAACTTTTTATAAGAAACATTATCAATACTCCCTCCGTCTCATAATTATTGTCCAGTTTGAGTTTTCATTTTTAGTTTAAATTGTATTAAAATTAAAATCTCAAACTGGATAATAATTTTGGGACAGAGGGAGTATATAGTATCCATTAAAATATTTAGGAAATTAATAACCTCTGAAAAATATAAATAATAATCATTTCTCTTCATTCAATGTGTGAGATTGATGTCCATACCAGTGTTTGTATTATTTTCGTGTATTACCATATCGATTCATAAAGTGCCGATATTATTTTCATGTATTATTAATTTTCACTCCATTTATCGTTTCTCGGAACTTCAGATAAATTTTTTGAATGAAAGTGTACCCATGATGAAAGTGATTAAAAGATAAGAACACTTGTAGCTGACTCCTTGGGAACTTCATGATATGATTTGGGTCTTAATCAATATCACTTTCTTTCGTTCTGCAGCCTCTACATAAGTCTTCTTTTTAATCAGAACCATTATGGTTCAAATCGACGAATTACAAGTTGTCTCCACTAAATTCAAAATTCCAAAAAGAAAATGAGGAAAAGGTATATTTATCGGAATAAATGAGTGAAGTACGTAGGTGTATGTTCACTATTTATAAAAGATAAATTAAATTATTGAAATTGATCAAAGACATTACAGATTGATTTGTATGTCTACTTTTGAGTGATTATTATACAAATGGCATCGCACTACAGTGAATTAGGTAGACAAATCTCTCGTAGTCAAATTAAACTCTAGGTATTTTGTTAGTTGACTTTGACAATCTTAACCAAACAAATTAAATAAGCGTGACAATTATGAATTGGCGATTACTTAACCGTACCGTTTTGATTTTTCCTCCACTTTGAACCATTTGTCAAATCTTATTCTCGTTATTAACGTATATAGTTTCTTTCAAATCATTCACTTTGATCAGTTCTTCCAACCTTCTGTCAAATCATCAAACTGCAAATTGTTAGAGCGATGACGATGGAGCATCACCTTTTATCCAATTATTACTATCGAGTACGATTAGAATTGTACGAGTTTGAAACTTACAATTTACTCCATATACTATCCAGTTTGAATTTTTATTTTTGATATAATTTAAACGTAGAAACGAGTATTTGAATTCAACAATCATTTTGAAATGGAAGAAGTATTTGTTTATCATTAATCATTGTCCCATCATTTGTTATTCTGAATACAGAGACAGCAGAGAGCCTCAGCCTAGCCAATTATGTCCGATGAAGAATTACATTGTTGAGAATGACTAATCAGAGAGATTGGAGACTTTTAGCCGAAACGTAATCACAAAGATTGAGTTAATTCATATATGCTGTTAAGAATGTAACCACGAAGATCGAGGAAATTCATACATGCATGTTTTTGAGATTCCTTCGTTCTAAGTCGTAAGATTGGAAAAACTATATCCTTTCGTCCCAAATTAAAATTCATTTGGATGTAGTTGTTGTTGTTGAGATCTCTTTGCTCTAACTGGCAAGATTCGAAAATTGCACCTCCTTTGTAATAATTATATTTGAGACTGAAGAAATATAAAGTTTTTAAGGTCTTGAATTTCAATCACGGTCTATTTACTTTACTTTTGAGATGCATGTTTAGTGGAGGATTTTTATTTTTTGGATAATGTAACTAGGCATTTATATCATTGTGGGAAAATGGATCTTAGAGAATTTCCAATTATTTATCAATGCGGTGTCCGTAAGTGTGAGTTTTAATTTTTGAAAAAGAGAAATTTATTTTTTATACAATATATAGTCAACTAATAAAAGTAAGGTTCATCCTTGATCGATAATAATGCGATACACTAAAATGTTCATTAATTTTTCTATGTGAAAGTATTTGAGTTACAAATTAATTTTAAAAAGTTATTATTATCTGGGGTCTGAAAATATTGAAATTTGTAGGTATACATGTATTTTTCTATTTCATTGTGTACTTTGGGGAGCATTTACGGGGCCCCAAAAGCATACTAAACTGAGGTAAAAAACAAAAGGCTGATCAAAGATGGAAAGAAGCTTCTTCTGGTAAGATATAAACTATACAGAACGGATGCAGCTGGCCGGACTGGATGTACTGTGTTAGTCACAGCACACGGTAAGTTAGACTCAAACCCTTTGTCGTCTGGATAGGATAATTCGTATGCATTGGAATAACCCTAAATTTTAAATTGGTATTATTATTTTGACTGATATATTGGCATATATATATATATATATATATATATATATATTGCCAGCTACAAACCATCAAAAACATTAAAAAAAAAACACTAAATTTTGGCGCACTCAAGCTATGTAATTTTGATTTGTGAATCCTAAGGTACATTTGTTGTGTAAATCCAACCTGGCTAGACAAAGAAACTACTATACTAATTAAGTCTCCAAAATTAATGCTCAATTTTGATAATTTTGCTCTTGTTTTTACCATATTTTTATTTTATGCCTAGTACCTTGTCAATTTTGATAATTTTTATTTTACTTTGTAGTTTAGTTAGATGATTTGACAGTTTGGAAAAAGGAAAATGATTTGATACAAATTATGCCGACGTTTTACAATTATTGCTGATGTGACAATTATTGTTTTTTTTACACGAAGGAAAAAGAAAAAAGAAAAAAAGAAAGAGGTTGTTTATACTTGGTATAATTTTTCAACATGATAGCTGTGTAACCTGTGTTAAACCATCAGATTATGATTTTATTCCCAAAAGGTACAAACTCTTGAGTAAATAATTGGTTTGGTTAATATTGTACGAAAGTCAACTTAAAAAATGCCCGGAGAGTCTAAAGTCGACTGCATGAGATTTATCAAACCATCTGATTAACTGGAAAGCATATATAGTAATTAGTATAGCAGTCATTTTACCCCGTCAAAAGTTGACATTTCCCTGATTCCGAATGCAATGTCTAATTGTGTTAGAACTGTAGACGGCAACTTGTTGATCATGATCAAAATGCAACCCTAATTTATTTTCTTTTTTGGGGGATTGGGGAAATTCACGTATGAATTAATCAGCAACTCTTAAAATGCGATGAACTTGATATATATTGTTGAATGTCATGTGGTTAGAGATGTGAATCTCACATCGAAGACATGAGAAAACATAGATCATTTAACATTCTCCCATCTCAAAATTATTGTCCAGATTGCATTTTTATTTTTAGTTTAAATTATACTAAAAGTGAAATATCAAACTAGACAATAATTTAGGGACAATGAGAGTAAGTAAAATAAACTTATAACCCATTAACTTGAATTCCAAGTTATTTCTCGGATAAATTCGTTATTTGACAAAAGATGATCAAAAGGATAACACAGGGGTTCACTACGAATATCTATTATGATCTAAAATCGAAACAAAAAGAACCAGAAAATGAAAACTATGAAAACCTTGATAGGCTTGATTTTATTCTGGATATTGTGAAATTTTGAAGTAGACGAGTTGCTTTTGGTAGTTTTGTTCTTTATTCCTCGTTCATCCAATTTTAATGTTCCCTAATTTTAATATATTATTACAGTTTTCCATTTTTTTAATAAAAAAATTACTAATGGGACAATTCCTTGGAAAATTTTTAATTTATTGGTATGTCACAATTGGGAACACAATGCTATTGGCATTTCTTCTCTTAAGATGTGTTACATAATTAAATTTTTTAATTAAAAAAGGAAAGAAAAATTATATATGACTATAACGCATTGAATATATGTAAATATTAGAAATGTTCAGATCTACAACATAAATTCAGCGGGGAAAGACAAATGTACTCTATGACTAGAATGGAAAAGGTCCAAAAACTTGAGGGAGAAGAATATATCAACCGACAAATATAGAGCTGAGTAGCTGACTACAAATTTAGAATATTATTGCTTGTAAAATCAAACGTCAGTGACGCAAATATTGGTTCACCAAACCAATACCGAATATCTTAAAGTGGAAAATTTGAATTTTTTTTTCCTAAAGAAAAAAGAAAACAAGAAGGGAAGCCGAATGGATCAAAGGCAAGGACGATTCTCCGACCGCTTGTGAACAAATGTCAAGGATTTGAATACCTACGAACTGGCAATTAACTCTAACGAACATGTCAAAAAACAATACTAAAAACTAGCAGAACCGCGTTCCTTCCTCCACACTAATTAATTCATTTTTAAGTTTACTTTAATTTCTTTTGTATAATTAATTAATTTGCTACAGAAAGGAATAGGAACTCAATTCCACTATTCATACATACTGTTCAAGTCATCACCTACTACTACAGCTTACGTCCGTTTCCATCGATTGAATCACCCCATGAATAACAATTGTGTACAAACTAGGAAATTTCTCCGTGTTAACGCTTATGGATGCTGAAACAATATATTCCATCCGTCCTTAAATATCATCCGGTTTAAATTTTTAGTTTTAACATAAATTGTACTAATAGTACAAATTAAAATTAAACAATTATTTTTTTAAGCTCGAAGAAGTAGAACTAGTTAATAATTTTGGCTCTATTAAATAGAGACATAAAGAGCCTTTCTTATAGGATATATATACATTTTGGCTCCATAAAATTTTTTATATATATAATTTATAATATAAACTATTTTTCTTGAGACGGATGAGAGAGTATATGTTTATGTACGGACTGACTGGGTTTGTAAACTTTACAAAATCTCAAATATTCTTGGTCAATCATATCGTTGAGAAAGGAAAAAAGAAAGAAAGAAATCCCAATAACTGGGTCATCCCCTCCAAGCTGTGTAAAGGTAAGGAAACGCGCTACATGCAATTTTAAAACATTCAAAAATGAACAAGTAGCCGGGATCGATCACCTCTTCATTCTCCCCCTATAAAAAGAGGATTACAATCTCCAAGGTTTTTCATCAATCAATCAAACTAGCTAGCTAGCTCGCTAACTCAGTTCATTATTTGAGTCCTAAGATTCCCTCTTCGATCCTTGTAAATCTTATCTTTCTGTTTCTCTTCCTATTAATAAGTTAAGAAGTTTGCGATCTTCTCAATAATGGCGTCCAAATATTCAGTATATACTACAACATTTGCTACTCTGTGCTTGTTACTGCTGCTTTTGAGCTTTGGTAATACTGAAGCTCAACTGTCACCTAGTACTTTTTATAACGCAAAATGCCCTAATGCACTTTCCACCATCCGTACCGTTATCCGATCAGCCATCTCCCGGGAGCGTAGGATGGCTGCTTCGTTGATTCGCCTTCATTTTCATGATTGCTTCGTTCAGGTACTTACTTAAATCATAAGTGCCCGAACAAGCTAACACTCGACGTAAATAATGTATATGATACCTCGATTTCAAGATAAATCGATCACTTGAATTGGATTTTCTTATTTATATATTCGTAACAATATATAACTTCCTTCATAATTTCCAGGGCTGTGATGGTTCAGTTTTGCTGGATGAAACATCAACCATTCAAAGTGAGAAGACTTCTTTGGCAAATAGGAATTCAGCCAGAGGTTTTAATGTGATTGAAGATGCTAAGCGTGCGGTCGAGAAGATCTGCCCCGGTGTCGTTTCATGTGCTGACATCCTTGCAGTTGCTGCAAGAGACTCATCCGCTGCAGTAAGTAATATTGTATATACAACTTCATACTGACTTTGTCTCAACAAAATAGTTTATATCAAATTTTGAGAATAATTTAGTACTCCCTCTGTCCTATAATTATTGACCAGTTTGAGATTTCACTTTTAGTACAATTTGAACTCGAAATGAAAACTCAAACTAGACAATAATTATGGGACGGAGGAAGTATAAAAATAAAAAACTCATATAGACTATTTTTTTTTTTTTTCCTAAGACAGATAGAGTATTCAACTGATTACTCATCACGTCCAAAAACTTTAAAATAAAAAAGAAAAAAAAATTAACACCAACAACAAATATAAAAAGCTTGACTGGCACGCATGCAATAAATTAATTAACTATTAACGATGATGATGATGAATGTGCGCAGGTGGGAGGTCCGTCATGGGATGTTCAGTTAGGAAGAAGAGATTCAACGACGGCGAGCCGGTCTCTCGCCGACGCTAACCTCCCGAGTCCATTCTCCGACCTTCCGACTCTTATTTCCAAATTCTCTGCAAAAGGGCTCAACGCAAGGGAGATGGTGGCATTATCGGGATCACACACATTAGGACAAGCACAGTGTTTCACTTTCCGTCAAAGGATTTACCGTAACGGCACCGATATCGATAAGGGATTCGCCAGCACCCGCAGAAGGTCTTGCCCGCAAACCGGCGGAGACAGCAACTTGGCCCCACTCGATCTGGTCACACCGAATTCGTTCGATAACAACTACTTCAGAAACTTGCAGCAAAAGAAAGGTCTTCTCATTTCAGACCAAGTATTGCTCAGTGGAGGCACCACCGACAGTCACGTCAACGGATACGCTTCAAACCCTAAGTCATTTTCCGACGACTTTGCGGCGGCCATGATCAAGATGGGAGCTATCTCACCTCTCACTGGTCGAAACGGGATTATAAGGAAGATCTGCAGTGCCGTTAACTAAATCATGGTGGCATATAATATGAATTTTTTTTTTTTGTTTTCTTTGTTTGTTTATTGAAATGTGCATAGAAATTTAAAGTTTCATTTTTTTTTAGTTCTTTTTGGTGTGTTAAATGTATTGTGTTTGCTGCAATCAAAATTGTATCAAATGCTTGTACCAAAATAAAAAAAATAAAAAAATTGTATGTCATGTTTGTACTTGTAGCGTTAGCGCTACAAACGTCATTCGTTATAATTTTTTTTATATATATTAATTAAGGATGAGACTTTTGCTGCTTCAATTCAACCAACTATAGAAGATGTCAATGATCCAGTAATTAAACTGATAATTGGGCGTATCATTGGGAGCATATCACACATAAATATGAACGAAATTTAGTTTAGTATAGTATTTATAATAACAACTAGGACGCAGTATTTGTATTCTACTATTGCTGATTTCATAATGAGATGGTTGTAGATTTTGATGCAAACTGTTTACCACTTCAAATAATCTATTTTGAAACAGTAGAACTGAGTTAACTATTTTTCCTTTTTCATTTTTCTTCTTTTCCTTTTTTTTATTTTATATATTTTTTTTTTGGTTGGCAAGAAAGAAGTTGGTTTTTTTTTTTTTGGCAAGAAAAAAGAAGGCATTTATGGAGGGACTGTATCTATGGTTTTGGGCCAAGCATGAGCATCAATGGTGTGATACACCTTAACTAAGCTCCGTAATTTAGTTTTAAACTCAACTTATGGGCTTAGTTGTGGGCTTCTGTTGATAAAACTCTATCCATTTCCAATCTGGTCGAGAAAACCAAGACGTTCACATTCGAATATGACTTTCTGCAAGGAGGAGGAAGAGAATATACATGTCAATGTACAAAGGGATGAAAGTATTTCCGTGGTATTATAGTCAGTCATCGGTGCGCTTTTAACGTCTTTTCGCTAATGTCTTCTTCAGTCCCTTAACAATCTTCGAAAACCAGATTGAGTTCATGATGGCGAGCACTGATGGTACCGCGAGAATCAGGAAATGCCCAAATGGCTGCAGCTGCTTCACCTGTTGCAAAACCAAAAAGAACAGCAGACAGTCAGCAACTGATTAGATGAAGCATATGCATGACAGGAGGCAAGATGTTAAACGAAAGGAGAAAACCCAAAAACAGTAATCCTGTCCAGTTACTCCCAGTGCATTGTTTCATGTGTGTCAAAGATGGACACATGAAACACGTTCAACACAATTTTTATTCGAAAAAAATTCCAAAATTTATCGTGATTACCTTGTCATAATGCGCCCAAATGTGATAAAACAGGTACACAAACAACAATATTCTGGCAACCTGCACAGGAAACTAATTTCGCTAAGAAAGTGAAGCAGTGAACAGTCCTTTTCTAGGAAGAAAGAATGAATAAGCATAAAATCCAAGAACTCTTTTGCATGAAACTGCAGGAAGTAGAAATGTAGAATGTAGAATGTATTAAAATCAAAATAATTTTTATAGTGTCATGACAACTATCACTTTACTTACCAGCCAAGAACAGAACATTACAACCCCATTAATTATATATGATTTGGAGTTCTTCATTCCAGCCGTATCAAGGTACCTTTTGGGAGAAGGATCAACATTAAAACAAACAGTAAAAGGAGGGATCATATTTGTTCATAAGACACTTTTACGTCAACCTATGAATAGTGAGACAAATGATAGTACCATCTTAAATTAATTGCAGGGGTAGTTGCTTCAGAGATTAAGACCCCAAATGTGTAGAGCTGTCCTTCACCAGTCAGCAGAGAATACATTACAGATATCATGGAAAGAAGATGATGAACCACCTGATAACAAGTCAGAGAAGTTTCAAATGCTCAGGATCAAGTGACAAAAGCTTAATGGAAGTCCAGGTTTGTCCTTTCAAGTAATCGAAGGAAATACAATGCTATACATGCCAAAGATCAAATCCAAGAAGTTGGAAACCACTGATCATGGAAGTCAAGAGATGATGGAAAACAAACATAGTACTAAGATGCAAAGAACAAACTAATCAATACTTACATATTCCATTCCACCTAAAGAAGGATAAAACCAAATGATCATCGCAAGATCGCTTATGAAATAACCAACAGAAACCTATCAAACATAAAAATCTCAAATTAGTATAAGAAACACATTTCAAGCAGTCTAAGACTCAAAACAGATTTCAGTTTTAGCATTTAAAAATGTAATTAGGATAATCTCCCAGTGAATTTTATGTTCTTCAGCCCTCAAAACAACTGGTCTGCTAATGCTTCAAAAAAAGGAAGAGAAGAAAAACAAAAATCTCCCCACACCCTTTCTCTAAAGAATCAGATTAGAGCAATTCGCCTGTCTTGGGCCACCAGGGTGGACTAAAAGTCAGAAAAGAAATACAATAACTTACTCCCAAGGCAAATGAGGATAACATTGAACGTCGAAAAATGAAATTGGTAGGGGGACCATCAGAAAATAGCTCTGACCAAAACACCAGGTAAAGCGACATGAGCGTGATGAATATGGCATGAAATGTTGATATCACTCTGCATCAGAGGAGAATAAGCATTACAAATATGAAAAGAATATTTAGCATCACGGTATACATAGGAAAATTTTGAAGGCTATGAAAAGACGAGCAGTAATGGCAACATTTTATTACCTATTGTTCCACTCAATTTTCTGAGGATTCGAAAGCTTAGAATAGCTCTTGAAGTAAACTGGACTGATCCCCTGGCTGAGATCATAAACCTGAAAGCACAATATATAAGTAGAGGAAATAAATTATATCTTCTCTAATCACAGATTTCAAGGATTTAAATGTAGCCAGTACAAGAAGTAATCTGGCTACTGGTGCTGGAAGGTGCAAAATATATGGCTACCGGTAGAGTGATTTGAGAAATGAGTTCATACAATTTTGCAGGCACTGATCCCGCCAATAACGGATGTGTATAGGACAGAAGAGTCTTCCAGCATATAGCTCTTCAGTAGAAGCTCAACTTGGGAGGAATAGAATTGGACTACCATCTTTAATTCTGATGCAGAATCACTCAAAAATGTCTTTGGACCAAGAGTTTCACTTTCAGTACCTGCATTCGAAAATTTGGAGGGGCTTATATACACCCTTTTTTTTCCTATTTTAAAATTATTACAGAGTATCCTTTCTTCCTCGGGTGATAACACAAGGGGAGCACACAACTGATTTCAGACTAGTAGAGACAGATTGAGCAAACAGTGCACAAGCAAATTATCACTAACAAATTAAAACTTTTCTGGTGTAAGAACAAATAGACTATAGGAAAGACAATCAAATATGACAAAAAGGACATCAAAGCACACTATCAATCAGTGACATTACCCTTCATAACCTCTCCCGGAAGGGAAATTGTAAAGCTTAAAACTTTTCAAAACTAAACCAAAAATCCCTCCAAAAAAGACTACGCAAGACCTACGCCCACCTCTAAAATTAGAGAAAATCACATCTTTATTGTTCTTCCCAATAACAATACTGTGGCCACCTATTCACGCTTAAGGCCAAAAAACTCTACTTCAATCGTTCTCAAGAACCAATTTTTAATACCAAACCAAACAACAGTCAGTATGATTCTCCAGAATAACACCCCTGCCTACAGCTATATAACAAATTCTCAAACAAAGCAAATTTGGGTCCTTCAAATTCATCAAAACTGAACCCAGAAAAAATAAAAAAGCAAATAACAATCCGGGAAATCGCAGAAACTAGACAGTTATAATCAAAGCCATAAAATATGATCGAAACGAAACTGAAACGAAAAAGGGGCTGTCTTGAATTACCTCAAAGAAGCAGAATTTCGGAGGATACAAAAGAGAATCGCGTTGTTGTATCGAGTAGGAGGGGGATTGAATGAATATAATGAATTGGGAAAGAAGGAATCCGAGACTTAGGCGACAAGAATATTAAACCATCTCTGTCCAAAATCCTTGAGCTCTAAATTGTTAAACCCCCGCAACCCATAGAGACAGACAACCTTATATTCTTTTGTTTCACACGTCACTGTTATTATTATATGTTAGGATTATCAAGGGAAGAAATTGTATCTTTTTTTAAAAAAAATAAAATAACAAAAAACAAATTTGGGTCTATTGTCTTTTGCAATCATTTGTTCATTGCGACAATAATAAATTAATTAATGTCCCGTGAACGAAGTAGATTAATCAATATTATCGATGTAGACATCATGCAATGAAAAAAAAAAAATTAATATCCACCTCATTTTATTTTACTTCTTAACATTGTTACTACTTTTGAGTGGATGAACAGGGCCCTTGCAACAACGTGGAAGAAATGCTCCAATCCAATTACTTTGATTTGATCATGAAATTTCTAGAGAATTTCTCATCTTTTTATTTTCTTTTCTTGCATTGTTAATCATTACTTTCTAATTGGATGCTTTTTTATGTATATATTCAAACATCACATGAAATATACCCCAATATAGTCTCATCAAACTTTCTTTTCTTGTTTTCTTTCTACTTTTTCTGGGATTTTTTTCGGTTAAATTGGATAAAAGGGACATTACTATTGAGAACAGGAAAATATTTTTTTTTTACAATTAACAAGTTTAATGCCTTAAATTATATTAAAACATTATATGATAATTAATTACAAAACTCAACTCACTGAATTGGTATAATATTTTTTCTTTATTACCATATATTCTAGCTCATTTTGTGTGAAAAAAGAAAAACACATTAACCTGCCTATTTATAAATCTTTTGCCACACGTGCCATTTATTCATGAATGTTAAATGTTTGAGTACTATACTAACGTTTCAACTTTCAAGTGCTTCTTTATTAAAAGAACGGAATGTAACATGTTCTCGTAAATATATTCCTTGACTCATTGAAGAAATCTTTGACAGTTTTAGTTAATTTTATTAATTCGCAATGAGAGAATAATAATCGTACTGCCTCCAAAGACTCAACTTGAAGAAGTAGATCCTCCTTGTTGAACGCATATTTTGTTTTTGAATAGCTTATATTTAACCCCAATAATAAATTTTTTTTAAAAAAAAATAGCATGCTAGAGTTGAACCAAATACGTTTCCATCTACAATTATTTTTCCGTTTGAGGGATAAAGGAGTTCATGAATGTTGTGGGAATCGATGTCGTAGTTTCTAATTAAAATTATGTACATATATTGTATATTTTATAACTTGCGTTAGAAGTTCATAGAGTTATGTAATTTACTAACCATAGGATCTAGTTAATAATAATTCAATTGATTGAATCATAATTCTATTTATTGCTATGTAAATATTATTATAACTTAATACATATTGCATGATCAAATTGATTTTGGATTGTGTATAATGTAGCTGTAGAAAATGCTTTTTTTTTTTGGAATAAACTGTATAAATGGTCCCTACATTTAGTCAGATTTAAATTTTAGTCCCTACATTAACATGTATATGAAATGAGTCTTTATATTTTATTTTGAAACTATTTTGGTCCCCTTTCACTATTCCGTCCCAAATTCCGTCGTGTTGACCATTGGCCCCACACAAGCCAAGAGTATTTTTAAAATATTACATATACATGAAAATTAAATATTATATTAATAATTAAACAATAAAAAATATTATTTAATAATAGAAAGAATGGATTAATTGCTTCTGCTTTTAAATGTTTACAAAATTATTAAAAATTACTAAAAAAATATATTTTACCATTCCCTTCCTCTTTTTTGTTTTTTTTTTTTCTATCCAGTGCAACCATACCATTAGTCCCAATTTTCTCATTCCCTTCTTCTTCTTTGACCCCGGAAAAAAGACTCGAGTCTAGTTGGGAACCTTCGACACGGCGGAGGAGGCGGCCAGGGCTTACGATGCCTCCGCCAGAGAGTTCCGTGGATCCAAAGCCAAAACCAACTTCCGTTCCCTTCGGAGGCTCATAGCCCCAGTAGCAATAGCAGTACCGTGGAGTCATCCGGTGATGACGGTTGGGTCCAACGCTCTGGCGGAGCTTGACATCATGCGCCCCCTTGGAGCCTCTGCCGGAGGAAACGTCTTGGGGTTTTCTCACGTTTATCAACATCACCCTGCGATGACGGTTCTTCCGAATGGACAACCCATTGTTTTCTTCTAGCCAGCTAACTGGAACACCTATTCTTACCATTTTGGGTCGATGCCGGCGACGGTGGATTTACCAACGTAGGCAGGTTTAGCAAATAGGTTGAGGAATGAGTAGTGGTACAAGGTGGTGGTGAATTTAGCATAGATGAATTTGTGACTATGTTGATCTCTTAATTTGGAGGTAGAATTCGATTAATAATGGTGGTGTTGTCGGAGACAGAGATATAAAAAGGGGATAAATTTCATACTTTTAATTACTTTTTTTAATGTGCAAAAGGGTATAATTATTTTAACTGCAAGTAAAAAGGAGACTTTTTTGCTGAGAGTGGGTCCGATAGGATAAAAGAGTTGAAAATTAAAAAAATGAATTTAAAATTTTCTAATATATAATTTTTATGAATTTTAAAATTTTTAAAATTTTTTATTATTTAATTATTAATTTAATCTTTGTTATTCCTTTTATCTGTAATATTCCAAAAATACCCTTGTCCTAAGGGGGGTCAACGATCAACATGACGGAATTTGTAGGGGAAATAGTGAAAGGGTACCAAAATAGTTTCAAAATGAAATGTAAAGGCTCATTCCATATACATATTGATGTAGGGGACCTAAATTTAAATCTGATCAAATATAGGAAACCATTTATACAGTTTAGTCTTTTTTGGGGGGCAAAAAATAAAAACCTCAATTATTTCTCGTTCGAGGATCCATAAAAAATCCACTGGATACAACTAAAATTGAGGCGGGCCTAGGTGGAATCCACCAAGAAAGATGGGTTTAGCTAGTAGTATCATTGGGCTAAAAATAACGGTCGTGGCCTTTTATTAGATTGGGACCGGTTAGCTGGAATCAAGACCCGATCCGATTCGATTGTTCATCTCTGCTCTTGATGAGAAGAACAGAGACGTGGAGTGAAACTCAACCCAGAACCAACAGCTACTCTCATCTCTCCCATGGCTTCTCTTCAATTATTCTCGAACTCATTTCCATGCAATTATCTTCCCACTCATAATTCTACCCATTACAGTTGCTTCGCCATGAAAGTTCCCTGCTCCCTTCTTGCATTTAAATTCGAGTTCACCTCAAGGAAACAACCCATTCCCTCAATCAAAATTACTTCCTCTGCTTTGGCAAGTAACAGCAAGATGGAACCAATGGCCCCTCCTTTCAATGTCTTGATTACGGGCTCTTCTAAAGGTTTTGGGATTTTCAATTCTTGTCTCCCCTGAAGTGAATTCCCCATCACGTTAATCTAATTGCGACTGAATATTTGACACATTTTTTTTGTTTGCAGGAATAGGGTATGCTTTAGCTAGAGAATTTTTGAAAGCAGGGGATAATGTCATTATTTGCTCAAGAGCAGGTGCATATTGCTAAACCCATTATTTCTGTGATTCTTGAATTCAAGCCTCCCTTGTAGTTGGCAGCTTTAACATGATTACATTCTGAATTTGGTTTAGTTAATCTTGAATTGTGTTTGATTATTACTGGTTGATTTCTATCTATTTTTAAGTTCAGATGTTAAAGTTCTCATATTTCTCTTGGCTAATTCACAGCTGAGCGTGTTCAATCTGCTGTTGAAAGTCTGAAATTGGAATCAGGGAAGCAGCATGTGTGGGTACCTCCATAACTTATTCTAATTATATACTAGTAACAAGTAACTTATTATTGCTTAATGTGTTGAGACTTTTTCCCACACGAGATCATTTCATAATAAGTGCAAACAAAACTTTTCCTTTTTCTATCTGTGGTTTTAGCAACTACATTTTCCGGTGGAATGCCCGAATTTTTGTTTACAATAGATTTGGTCATGAGTTTACTAGGAAGATAATGTGTATTTCAGAACTTTTTCCCTTGTGTTTTTATATTCATGTCGTTACTTTCATGTTCATTTTCGCATTACAGGGTACTAGCTGTGATGTTAGAAAGGCTGATGATGTGAAGAATTTAGTCAATTTCGCCCAAGAAAACCTTAAATATGTTGATATATGGGTATGATATCTGGCAATTTTCATATTTGAATTATCACATCGTTCAGTTCTACTTTATTTCATAGTTCATGAAACTTTCATGGTCTCATATTGGTGTAATGTACATGATGGTTTTATAGTCTCCCTGACAGCATTCGGCTCAGAAAAAAATAATATGGTAAAAGTAATTCTTGTAGTGCATGCTACCTCTGGCCTCTGCAACTCAACCTCAGTAGACCCTATTCTTTCTTTGAAAATTGTTTTCCCCAAGCTATTGCATCTTAATGGTTTTTTTTTTTTTTTTGGGTCGCATATCGAGATTGGAACAGATTAATAATGCGGGATCTAATGCTTATAGCTACAAACCTCTGGCAGAAGCTTCTGATGAAGATCTAATGTAAACTTCTCATTCGACTTCTTTTCCTTTTTGAGGTCTCCTTTTCTTTTTAATTTATGCTTCAAGTACAATTTTTCCAGGGAAGTTGTCTCAACAAATACTCTTGGTTTGATGATATGTTGTCGAGAGGTAAAGTATCATTTTATGAGGCGCAATTAGGAAGGCTGTCTGCTACTCATGCAAATTTGTTTCAGGCCATTAAAATGATGCTAAATCAATCTCGAGGGGGTCATATATTTAATATTGACGGGGCAGGGTCAGATGGAAGACCAACCCCCAGGTACTATGTTTTCTATAATCATAGATTGCAACCATGGGACATATTTAGTTTATTTCTGTTTCGATTTTCTTGTTAATACAAGCTATATCTATTTGCTTCCTGCAACAATGCTCTTGGCAAATGGTATCTGAGTGTTGCAAAAGAAGTTCTTCGATGTGTTTCTGAGCAACATTTTAAAATATCTCCTTAGTGTACGCTTTATTTGTTACTATTAAAAGTAGGAGCTTTGCAGGTATTTTATGGATTACTTTTGTTGAATTCCAGTTTTTTTTTGCTGTGATAGAAATGATACTTTTGGTTGTAATCTGTAGATTTGCTGCATATGGGGCAACAAAGCGCAGTGTGGTGCACTTGACCAAATCCTTGCAGGCAAGTGGTAGCCTTTATTGGTAGTAATGTTGCTGCACTTTGTGGCTTTCCAGCATCCATGTTCTGCTACCATATCAATGTCCTAAGTTGGTCTGTCAACTGTTCATTTGAGAAATCTCAGATTTTCAAAAAACCGTTTACAGAACATCAAAGTTGTTGGCTTTTACATACTTCGGTGATAAGTTTTAGGTTTACTCTTAATTTTCTCCAAGTACTTTTCTGCAGTGCTAAAAGCTTTTCTTTGAGAGGTGAAAAAGCAAATCCTGCCTAGCCAACTCGCAGAGCTCAGACATTAATTTTGTATTCTTCTTCTGCAGGCTGAATTGCAAATGCAAGATGTCAAAAATGTTATTGTGCACAACTTGTCGGTAGGTCATGCTTCTTACGGAACTTCTCTGACATGACTTAATGATGTTTAAAGGATAACTGCCTTCTGCTATAACTATAATGAGTTTTCTTCGCTGTTAAATCATCACATTCAATTTTGGGTGTTAGAAAACGCTGTTAAATTATCACATTCAATTTCGGGAAGTTATACACCATGGGAAGTTCGATTTTCTAATACTATTAATCTTCCATTTGCAGCCAGGCATGGTAACTACCGATCTTCTCATGTCCGGTGCTGACACAAAGCAAGTTAGTGTGATGCTTCTGGAATTTTTCTATTTAATCTAACATACATGTTTTTCATTTGCCTAACAAACTTCTGTTTGTTGCAGGCAAAATTCTTCATAAATATTTTGGCTGAACCAGCAGAAGTGGTAAGTTGTGGATATAGCTATGTAGTTAAACTATATCTGATACCGGAATCTGGCCCCTTTTCCTGCAGACATCAGCTTCTAATTATGTTCAACGAAAAATTCGATTTGATAACTTTATTCATTCGCTCACTGTGATCTGAATATTTAAGTTCAAGAGAGAGATTCCCCCTTGAGAATTTAGTTCCCTCATCATGTATCAGTTGTTACAAAATGTGTTTGATATGTGGTTGTACAATCAAGTTAGATATACTATGTGGAAAATCTGGAATAACCTGGCTTTCAGGTGTGTTTTATGTAGATACAAATTCTATGGAAATGCCTGATCAACTAAAAAATAAATAAATAAATTGGATGAAGATAGGAAATTTCGTCGAAATATCCAGATAAGTCAACTCAATATGGTAAGATAAATGTTTGATTTTTGTGTTTTGCTCACCCACTCTCCCTTTACCTCATTACAGGTTGCAGAATATCTAGTACCAAATATCAGATCAATTCCCATGAGTGGATCAACAAAGCCGACTTACATTCGGTTTTTAACTGGATGGAAAGCCTACTCTCAAATATTCTCAGTAATGTTGCAACATTATAAAATTTCTTCGTTTCTAACACTTCTGTTTCTAACACTTCTTTTGCCAGACGTGATATTACAATTCGATGACTTCAAATAAAATTTTGTTTCTTCTCTTCGTCCTTTTGTTGGCAGAGAATTGCTTTTGGAGCTAGGAGGAATAGATATGTTCTAGAAGATTGATTTTTTTGTCCTTGAAGCAAAAAGAAAAAAAAAAAAAGAGTGGGTTTTTCATTTTTTATTTTTCTTGTCAAGCACTGCATCTTTTTCGTGTAAATTGAATATTCCTTCCATCCTGAAACGATTATCCAATTTGAGATTTCACTTTTAGTAGAAATAAAAGTGAAATAACAAACTGGACAATCATTTTGGAACAGAGGGAGCACTAGTTATTTAAACATTTTTTAAAAGAGTTTTTAATTCTGATTTCTTTTCGTGCAGGAGCTGCATTAGCACATTTTCTGTCATGACAGTTGGGATAGACCTAACTGAACTTCCCATTGAAGAAGCGTTTCAAGCACAGAATGCATTGCAAATTGAAGCTCCGTTTGGGGCACTGCCTAACAATCCAACTGATCAAGTGGGAGAATGACCTACTTATAAGCAATCTTCCTTTGTAGATTAAGTAAATAGTTGATAGTGTCCTATCTACTTTGTCTACATTCAGAGAACACTGCCATGGCCTGCTTAAAGTTTGCATTGTTCATGGTTTTGATCATTTGCATTACCCTTGAGCAGGAGGTAAAAGTTACATCTGTTCGATGACTTAGAATTCTTTGAAGATTCGATGTTTTAGAAATTATGTATGAAATAGATGTAACATATTTAGCTAATTTAGAAGAAATTTTTAGTCTCGTGCTTAATATATAAATTTTTTTTTTTTTTTTTTTTCTTTTGAATTTCATGTTTTGGCAGATAAGTGGTAACCAAGGGCTGGCTGTCGAAGGTGCCAAAATTGGTATGGCTAGAAAATGCAATCATGATCATTAATGTTTTAATCCCAAAAATGGTTCCCAGGTAAAAGTTGGTACCCTTAATTCACAATTTGGTTGTGCACCTCAGATTGTGCGGGGAAATGTGGGTACAGATGTAGCAAGGCGAGCCGGCATAAAATGTGCATTAGGGCATGCAACACCTGCTGCCGACGGTGTAACTGTGTTCCGCCGGGCACTTCCGGCAATGAAGACGTCTGCCCTTGCTATGCTCACATGACTACCCATGGCGGAAGGCACAAGTGCCCTTAAGAATCACCAATATCATTTGCAATGTTTTTCATGACAATGAAAGAAAGGAATTGAATGGGAATGATGAAATAGAAAATATTCCAACACATTTGGCCTTTGTAATGAGCGCGTTAATTATTCAATTCCATTTTCTTTTCAACCTGTTATTAGAGTTATAATTATGTTTGGAATGATCGAACAAAACACCATTGTTTGAACTTTGAGATGAGCATCAAACACTACTATTGTAACGTAGCTGTTACCGTTTGGTAAAACTTGAAACCATGCCTAGTAATGGCATCTTGGGCTTAATTGGGCTGGCTCCAAGTATGATGATTTCTGTTGGATCACTTAAAAAAAGGGATTTGCGCGATATTCCAATTTACCTCTCTGCAAAATAAACACCCCCAATAACCCTAGCCCCCGTAATTTGTGAATTGCTGTAGATATAACTGAAGTTCAGGAGTCCATAAACGGTTCCCTAACCCGTCGTCGGAGCTTCGTCGCCGGTACCTCGAGGTAACTCACTTTCCGTGGCTTTTGATTAGCAATGACGAATTTATACAAAAACATTTCTTTGTTTTAGGCGTTTATTTGCTGTATTACTAACTCCAGATTGTAGTATTTGTGACTCAATATGAAAGATGTTGTTACTTGGTGTTTTGTGTAGTGTAGTAGTAGGTGTTTTTGTGGTCTTATTTGTGGAGATTAGTTCGGAGAGTTCTTTGTCCTTATTAGGTCATCGAAGAATGTAGTTTTGATTTAGCTGGAATCGTAGGCTTTCAAACTTGAGCTGGGCTAGAAATGTAATTATGGCTGCATCTGCAGAAACTGGCAGCTTTGAAAACCCTAAGATGGGAACAGAGGAATGGACAGTTGTTTTGGCTCGTTCTGGTAGAAAGAAAAGGGGTTTTCAAAAGATGATTATTCCACCCAAAATGCTTGAACCTGCCAAGCCTTGGGCTCCTGAAAATTCTGAAAATGATCCTGAAAGGGAGTTGAAATTGATGGGGAAGATGCATACTTATGTTGAGTCCCTCCAGAGCTCCCAATTTTACCAAGCCTTCATGGATCAAATCCAAAGGAGTGAAATGTCTGATCTTATAGGTAAGGTTTTGGTGTCAGAAGAGAAAATGTCGATGGTCGTTTATGGTATAGGCAGCATTGAATCGTATGAACCGCCTCGTTTACAACTTGGCCTAGCTATATTGATGAAAAAGAACTTGTCTTGGATTGGAGACGTGGAGGTGTTTGATCCGGTTATTTCTTCTGTCGAATCAAAAGTTCTGTCTGCATTCGGCTTTTCTGTTCTATCCATCAATGAAGAGGGTCAGCGTCAAGCTTCAAAACCGACATTCTTCTTCATGCCTCACTGTGAAGCTGTGTTGTATAATAATCTATTGCGAGCCAATTGGGAAGTAAATCGCCTGAATCAGATTGTATTGTTGGGAAATAGTTTCAATGGGTACGAGCAAGTGGTTTCAACTTCCATGCTTTCAGTTCGAGAGGAAACACATGGCCATATCTTTGCCGTCAGGAGTTTCACTAAAGAGTTCCCTGTTAATACAGTGTCAGATGACTATTTTCGTGCATTCCATACTTCTAGTTGGCACTTTTTCAATGTTGAATCAGATGCAGACTTACAATTGCTTAAACTCTGACATATTTTGCATCCAGCACCACATGGGAAGAACTTACACTTGAACTAAAACATTTGTCTGGGAGGTTGTCAATATTAGAATTCTGGTTCTGAGTTCTGACAGACAGGTTTTATGTTGTCTTACTTGGCTTTCATAATGTTGACAGAGAACACTATGAGAGTATGAGGATGGCAAAAAAGTCATCCTAAGGCCATGATTTATGGATTGTCATCCAAACCGTAAATTTTGATTTCCTTGGCAAATAAGTACTATAGTTCTATCTCAGAATCTCAAATTTTGATTTCCTTTTATCTTTTTATTTTTCTATTCTCCCTCCTTTCAATTGATTGAATGGTTCATCCAAATCATGTATACTTTTTTCATCATTTTACAAATTCTAAATTGTTTACCTAGACACCCACCAACAAATGGATGTAACCACGGTTATCATAGATGCGGAGGGTCGCATGAATCAATCCAGTTCTTGTATAAACAGAGACGGAATACAAGTTTTGACAGGATAACAATGTTTCTGACTCAAGATTACAAAATGCTCGTGTATAATCAAACTCCAGGACATAACGGGAGTAACAATCGATACACTTTAGTACACACGTACACCCAAACAATATCAGCACCATAGAATACCACAACAGCAGCAGGATCAACACGAAAGATTACTGACACGCAGCTCAAATGTGTGTTCACTTTCCTCTTTCCCTGGATCATGCTTGTTGCACTGCCACATGAAAAGAGTTCACCATCAAACGCACTTCAGTTCAAACAACGTATCGATAGGTCACATAACGCCCTGCAGTCTCACTCGGCCGAATTATTTTCACAACTTGCCCACGCTTTAGACCATAGTATCTAGCAATCGGATCTGTGATCTGAATCCTAGGTAACTGCAAACAAGAACACGATAACGTAAGATTCACAAAATGTCTTATCTTTACACAAAGAGGTCATACAAGGTACACACTTCTTTCAAGAATGTGACAAGTACACAATACTGGTGATAAATACCAATGAATACAAACAAAAATATTACTCAATTCAACAGCAGTGCAAAACTATGGCCAGGGTCGGTCCTTAAAAAAGTAGGCAAATGATATTAGACCTAAATTTACACCACCAAAACAATACTCGAAAGCTGCCCCAATATGAAACCAGGATCTAATCAAAATACAAACATTTTTAGCACGGTCGGTCCAGAGTCCAGACAAAGGTGGGTTAAATCAATAGCCTACAATGTATTTTGTCACCTCTCATGGCATGGTTCATGGAATTAATCATGAGTGATAGAACAAGATAGCGAGATATAAGCCAAAATTCACTCATATAGTTGAATAACACTTAATGTTAATAATAGAGCAAACATTCTAGCTAAAGGCTATGTCATAAGAGACATCAAGTATCAGAGGAAGATAAGCACGCCGGAAATCTTAACTATTAACATATACAAGGGACAATATCTTAATAATCAAATAGAGATGTCCCATGCTGGAAAAATAACCTGAGTTTCTTTCACAGTGTACCGCTCCAGCAAAGTTTTCTTCTCCTCAGGAGTGAGAAGCTGGTGCTCAGGAACAAGCACATGATTTTTTATGTTAACCAACAGCTCAGCTTCCTGTTGAACAAAAACGATTTAACATGAGGGCGTGCATACAGAGATACCTAATTCTAGAGGGAGCCATCACATCATTAACGAACAGCTAATATCAACAAAGTTCAAGAAAAAATAAAATACAATAACTCGCACAAACTTCATAACTGCGGCAAGCAAAAGACCCTTTCTTCAGTTCTGTGTCATTTAGTGCTAAAATTTGTCAAGTCCTTCCCACTTGTTCATCTTTATTTATGCATAAAAATCTCTAAACACATGCCGTAAAGCAAATTCAACTATTAATAATGTTCACAGAAACCTCTGAATTTAGCCACACTTCTCAATTCTAAAAACAAGGACAACACAGAGGCATGAACCTTCATTTGGTTCCATGAACACAAAATCTCATGGCGCTATGGAAATAACTATAATCAAGGGCTATAATAAGCCGTAGGGGTTGAAGTAATCAATGCAAGATCGGACTTCTACAGGACAACTGATCCAATAACTTTTAACAACAATTTACATAGATGATTAAGTTCATATTGCTTTTCTCCAACAAAAATCACCTGAGTGTTTTGGGATGCATTGTAAGTTCAAACAGGATCACTTCTCATGTGAAACTTAAAGAGAAAGACGATAAAAAAATTTTAAAAATTGCAATTCTATTCCATGATGTCCCACACCGCAATTGTACCTGAAAAACCTCTAGGTGGAACTTCGTTGATATCTCGCTGACGCATGTTCTCGCAAAAGGAGTTAAGTTCTGCTGGACAACCAAAATTGCTCGGAAAACATTCTCAGACTTCATACGGTTTGTATATGTCTTCATAGTTTTAACTCCAACCTTTGCCTCCTCAGGAAAGAACACATATATCTGCAGACAAAAGCAAGCAGGAACCACGGAGTGTAAAAAAGTGTTTTCCAGGACCAACTAAAGCAGGAACCACACAGTGTAAAAAAGTGTTTTCAACTAACTCGATCCACTTAAGATATAGGGTCGCCCTAATTATTTTGTCAAGATTCGCCCTATCAATAAGGCAATTTCAAACATAAATTCAGCAAGTTACAGGCTTGATCAGATTAAAAAGAATTGCAATAGCAAGTTAAATGGTTGTTCAGAAATTCATGTTGCAAGTATCAAATTTTACAACCCAAAAAGATTCTTTGCGAACAGACAGCAATAAATAGAATAGAAACCTGATCAGAGCTGTCATTGCGTTTGGTTTTGCTGATGACTAGGTCTTCTCTCTTCATGTTCTCCCCATACTTGTTAATAAACTCGTGTCGTGTCATGTTTATCTCCTTTTCTGTCACAAAATAGCTCCTGTCATGAAGCATTTCCATGACTGTCTTCCGGATCCTGTGTAATCTGGTGATTTCTTCGTCAGACAATGTCATCCTTTACCTGTCAAGTTTCCGCTATTTCAGACAAACTCAATTATATGTGCAATATGCACTAGAAAACCACTGAAGCTATAGCATATCATAGCTAAGATATCAAAATCAAGTTCAAATTAACAGAACGTATAGAACCATCTAAGTCCACTTAAGTCAACATACAGTAGGACATCAATTCAAATTGAACCAACCAACGTAACTAAAATATCGTTTTTTTCCCCCACCCTTTTTTGTGAATAGAATAAAAACCCTAAGAAACGAGGAAGAAACAAACTTCAAGGAATCAACAGAACAAATTACGGTTAGCTAAAAAGAGGCCCGGACAACTCTCAGTAGAGGAACTGAAGTAGAAGGGAGGGAAAGGTGGCGTACGTTAGAGGGAGGGGAGCCGGCGACTTAGCTCTTTGAGAAGCTGAGAATGGAGGCAACGGCAGATTGGAGGCAGAGGATGAAGAGAAACTCAAAAGGCGGTGAACAGAGAAGACTGCACAGGGGCGGCGAACGATTGAGGTAAGTGTGTAAAACTTGGAACCGGACGATAATTTATAAACGCGGGTTTGATCCGGTTCAATTCTATTTCTGGTTGAACCGGATTATTTATTCTTTTTTATATTTAATAGATGGTATCGTTTTTTTTAATAATTCATTCACCCATGGAGTATACAGTATTCTGAAACCTATAAATAATATGGAGCTAATTTATAAGCAGTTTTTTTTTTCATCAAAATTCATGAGACCTTTGTTTGTCGAGCATAAATGCAAAATGAAATACAACACTTTATTTATTAATAACTTTTTTTAAAAAAAAACATATGTTGAATTTCAATCGCGGCAATTTTACGCAAATAATTACAGATAATTTTGTATTACACCTTATATCATAATAAAATGATACTCTTTTTTTAAAAAAATAAAAATAAAAATGTTACTGTCTAAAATGAATAGCTCGATTTGTATTACACCTTGTCATAATAAATAATGTTAATAATACATATAAATATAACTATAACAGCGATGAGAGATACTGATGTGGAGAAAATGTGCTGTTCCCCTCAAAAGGCATATACAGTACAAGAAAATTATCTAGCAAGCTGTTACAACAAAATGGTATCAGTTGATAGGCTTCTCGTTGATGATGAATCTAGTATGAATGTTACATCAAGCAGCAGAGCAGATGAATTGAAGAAAACAAATCATACAATGAGCAATGAAACCTCTCAGAGTCTCCCCAGTTCCTGCAATAAATAATCAAAGGTAACATTATTGATGCCAACCACAGCTAAATAGCAGCATATCATATGATCTTCAGCATGAGCACGTCACGCCTCAATCCAACACCCCAAAAGACATAGAGTACTACACTTTGACTGGTCAGAAGGAAGAATCGGTGTAACAGAACCAAGAGGCTGTTAATGGATTTAACCTATCACTAACCACTCGTGAAGGAGCAACCTCACCGTTGCATCCAGGCTCTCCCTCACTATTGGTTGACGAAGATCAAAATTAATATGCCAACACACATAACAATCAGATATCCAATTTGAAGCAAGACCAGATTCAACTTTCGCATACACATGAAGTGGTCATGAACTCTGAAAGATATAATAGTAGATATTTCACATACAAGATATCTTGTCTGTATGATCTTTCTTTTAAGTTATTATGGACAATATTTTCCATTAACAAGAACGAAAAAAGGTGTTCTTACACTCATCAAGCGAGTTTCAATTTCTTCCTTCTGGTGGTGTGCTCATCACTATGGTCACTTTTGCAGCTAAAATCATGCAGAGGATGATATTTAACAGATTCCAACTTCTCTTTGGCTCTGTCAAGCTTTTGTCTTTCAACTTTCTGCATCAATGCATAGAGGATTGAATTAAATTTATGAAATGGTGGCAACTGCTAAATCACAGGGGGTACGAATTTTAATCTTACAAGGGCAATTTCATAATTGGCAACATGCTGCTTGCAAAGCCTAAGCTCCATCTCAAGCGCACTTATTCGAGAGTTGATAGTTACATCATGCTGCTGAACCATCTGTTTTTGCTTGCCTCGAATAACTTCCGGTTGCCATACATTCAATGCAACAGAAGCTTGCTTGACTTTACACAAATTGAGTAACTCAGCCATAGTGATACTCATCTTTTCCCTTTCATTGGCTGACTGCTCTTCCATGGTGGCAATCTTCCTGGAGCTCACAGCAACATCACTCTCGAATCTCAGAACAACTCTTCTATGCGCCAAACGCTTTTGATCTCTCTGCCTCTCGTACCTGCAATAAAGTTGGGTCGGTTTGTCCCAATTAAGTGCAATTACACAATATCTCAGCAGAAGGATTAAGTGATGAAATGAGTAAAACAAACATCAACTTGCAAGCATTTCTTTTTCACATTTCGAGTTCGAGGAAAAAGGTTTTTCCACTTCGATTCAAGCATAAAGAGTAAACCTGCTCAGGCTAGAGCTCGAAGAGAATTAGAAAAATCTATCCATTCAGCTATTTGATGAGTTCTCAACTCTCAACATCAAGTTCAATTTTGAGTTCAACAAACTGAATTTTAAACTTCTTATATTTTCTAAAAAATACATAATCGTGTTAAGCAACGCCAAAACGAATATGCAATGTTAAGAAGAAATATTCATTACGAGTAAGATAGAGATAGAGGCAGCCCAAGATTCCGGCTAAAACTTTAAAAACAAAGTTTGAACAACGAACAGTGAGAAGCTTTTAACAGAATATAATCATTCGATAGTGTCGGTCTGCGACTAAGTATAACCGGTTTGTTTACCTAATTCGGTATAGGGCCTTGTCGGAGGAACACGAAGAGGTAGGTTCCGCGGCGCCAATTGAGTCGGTGTTGAAGTTGTAATCGGCAGATAACAAAGCCGACCAGAGAAAATTAAGGTTGGATAGTGAATTGAGGCGTTTGCAAGTGATGGAAAGGCTGCACAAGTCTCTGAAATTTAGACAACCACCGCCGGTGCCACCACCGCCGCCGCCGCATATCCCGATCTCCAATATTCTAATCCATAGCTCCTCGGGCATAATTGATATCCACATATTCTTCATTTTTTTCCTCCTCAAATTGATTGATGGATTAGAAAGAAGGCAGCTCGGAGATGATATTAATTCAAGAATGTCGGCCAGGAGGTGGCAAAAGAAACTTCTGGTGTTGGCCGACGATCCGATACCGATTGGGGAATTTACTCAAAGAAGACCCCCGGGAGGGACTATAATATTTTACCTTTGCCCCATCCAAATTATTTCATAACTTATAAAATGCCCCACATTATTCCCTTATTGCAAAACACGTTATAAATGGTAATTCGGAAATCAACCAATAGATTGTTTTTAAACAGATTGCAAATTGCAATATTTCTTTCTCTATTCTTTTTCTTCTTTTTTTTTGTGTTTTTCCAGAAACGATAATTATATTAGCTAGAAAAAATTTATACATTTTAGTATTGATACAATCCCTATTACATTAAAACAAATAATAAATTTTATCAAATCACATGAAGAACACATTTTATTTTTGTAAATAATTTATACAGAATCGACAATGATTCGTACAAGAAAGATGAACTATACAATATAAAAAAAAAACTAAATGTTATACTAAAATACTATAAACTTTGAGAGAAACTTGAATAAAATAGAATGCGACCAATACCATATTTTATAAGTGTAAATTTGAAGTCACATCCTAATTGGTCCTCTACTTTTGTCTTCTAAGTTCATAACCACATAAGATCTTAGAAAAAGGATATCTCGGATTTGCGGTTTACGGGAGGGAGGCGAGAAGAGGAAAAAAAGGGTAAAGTTCAAATTGCAATATTTTCATAAGAATAATTTAGGGAGTGTTCTGATATAAGATTAAAATATGTAGGATGTTTTTATTACAATAAGAAAAGCTTAAGGGGATTTGGCTATAATAACCGAATATATGTTTAGAAGAAAAAAATAAAATAATTCAGGGGCTATTTACAATTTACTCGTAGTATCAATAAAAACCTACCACCAACCCAGCGCCACCGTCTTCGGTTGTTCGGGTAAAGTTCGTCACCAAATCTAGCGGCTTAACGCAGAAACGTCAACTTGAAAATGGGAGCTCTGGCGAATTCAACTGAGGTTACTCCTCCTCCTCTCGAATCAACCTCAGAAAATGTCGAAGCCTTGCTAGAGGTAAATCATGTACAGTAGGATTGTTTTGTTTCCTCTGATTTCCTGTGGGAATATGTATTCTTTGTTCCTCCTCAGTTGAAAAAAGCAGTAGCTGAATTAGTTCGAGATTTAAGTTTTCAAGAAAAGATTTTTATGTTGTTGCAGGTCTGTATGCTCAATGTTTAGTGTTCTCGCGGTAGCCATAGTGTCATAATCTGTTTCCAAATTCCAAGGTTGCAAATCGAATAAATATTGGGGATGATCGTGCCTTCCTTTCTTATTTGTGGAAAATTATTTAGATTGTTTTTCCATTTTATCATTACTTATTATGCCTGACAGTGAATGCTGTAGTGTTTAAAGGAAGAATCACCCGGTGTGATGGAAGGTTATATGAAATGGTTCGTGATTGGATTGTTTTTATTTTTATTTTTATGTAAGATTTGGGTGAATGCCCCACTATTATCTTTCGGGTGATCGGCCTTTGCAACTGCAGCCAGTCGGATTTCTGGTTGATGTATGTTGATAGAGAGTGGGGATGTTCAACGAAATTGTTGCATATTTTGCTTTTTTTATATATATAAAAAAATTATGTTTAGAGATCATGGCTCATTATTGGCACATATGAGTGTGCAGATCAGAGCATATTTATTGGTTAACCTACGCAAAATTGTGATTTTTCATTCACTCGGATGAATGCACTTTTCAGCGATCATTAAAGGAAGTGTGGTGACTTCATGACTTGTTTGGACGCAAGTTGTGATTCGTTTCTTTTCTTGTGACGTTTAATGTCAGTTTCTGATCTTTGTTCTTTTCGAACAGTCTGTGACAAGTAGAAACATTGCATCTCAATATCCCACTAATGCAGCGCATGTGATTCGAAATCAATCTCTTTGACGAAAGCTTAAACAACAATAATCAATCTTTATTGGCTTCAACTACTTTTCCACAACTAATGTGTTTTCAAAGAGGGCATTTCAAATGCTTTTTGATTGCTTTCTTGTGTTGTGTGTTTACTTTTGAAACTAGTTTTATTGCTGTTAGCTACTAGTTGAGTTTTTTCCTTGTTAAGGATAGTGACACTCTTTGTTCTGTTTTTGAACAGGCTGCTAGATATGATGACTTGGATGATTTGAAAAGCTTAGCATCTGCTGGTACTTCTCTTGATGCTAAGGATTCACAGGGCCGAACGGCCCTTCACATGGCTTCGGCTAATGGTCATCTTGAAATAGTGGAGTATCTTGTTAGTCATGGAGTGGATGTAAATGCTGCAAATACTGAAAATAATACTCCTCTTCATTGGGCATGCCTTAATGGGCACGTTGAGGTTCGACTACACCAATCATTTTGTGCTCGGAAAGCTTAGAAAATCCAGTTACAGAGATTCCAAAATCCTCTTTTACACGCTCGAAACGAATTGTCTTGAAAATTTTACATTTTTTTTTTCCTTTTCCTGTCTTGCCAGGTTGTGAAGTTTTTAATTCTAGCTGGAGCCAATGTCGCAGTTCTAAACAGGTTTCTATTTTCTTAGTTATCGAGTATTCACTTTAACGCATCCCTTTTGATAGTTTGCAAAAACTTATCTTGTGTATTTTTGGCAGTCATGAGAACACACCAGTGGATGAAGCATTGCATCAAAGGAAGATGGATGTTCTTGATGCTGTCAACGAGGCTATGGCCCAAGTTGAACTCAGAGCTACTCAGGTTTCTTAATTTCTGATATGCCGGGTTAAAATGTAAGATCCGCAGACATCATAGTTTGTGGACATCCTCCCAATCTAGTGCAGTGTAACTGTTTCTCAATGTAAAAAAGCTGGAGTAAGTTTTTCAGATGGTAGAAGAACCTTATGTTATGCAGAATTTTCAGATGGTAGAAGAACCTATGCAGAATTTGGTGAGAAACTTGATTTGCCCCACTTTCGTCGCATTTTTGCAAGACAAATGACTATAAAATTTTTCGTGTTAGAAACAGTGGCTCTACAATAATGGATTCTTCAAAGCCTTGAACAACAACGGATAACAAATCTCTATAAGGCTAGAACAAATCCCTATAGCTACTATTTCAAGGACTAATTTAATTGGATACATCAACCAACCAATGTATGTTGACTAGTTGGGGGGAGAAATATGGGTAACCATTTCCCACCGGAGTGTGAAACGGCTTATATTACTTCACGGGTCATTTTGACATTTATTGAAAAAGTTGTCCAAAGAGAGAGAGAGAGAAGAGTAGCTCCAACTACCTTATTACCTCTCTTTATTATTCTTCCATATCTCTCTCGATGCCAATGCCATTTTGTTTTTGCCAACTGGGAGGAGAAGAATCTCCATTCTCCCCACTCAAAAACACAGCACACTTTCATGGACCAAAAACAGTAGTGGGTTTTTGAAGTCAAAAGCAAAATGCCATTACCACTACTTGGAACAACGACTAACCCCTTTTTCCCTTTCATTCGTTTGCCCAGTTGCTTTCCTCATTTTTCCTTGCTGACCACTCGAAAAGATGTTATTTTTTTTATGACATTTTTCTTCTCCACCACTGTTTTATGTTCCTTTTGAGCTCCTCTTCCTATTGCTGTTAGTTTTCTTAATGGCATGTGGTTTTGTTGTTCTTGCAGAAATAATTGAAAGAAAAAAAGAAATGATCTTGATTGAGTAGAAGTGGGAATTTGTTTTAAGAAAGAGGGTTGATCTTATAATACTTGTTTAGAGATGAGTGGGTTGGAGGCCATATGGCTTATGGTTTTGTTCTATGGCTTTTTTTCATTACCTTCAGCTTTGGGTTCTTTGAGTCCAGCTGGGAATCTTACATGCAACCAAGATGATATGAAAGCTTTAGTGGATTTCTACCATGGGTTGGATTTGGGTTCAATTGGCGGTATTCCTACTTGGGATGTGAATTCGTCTTCTTCTAATTGCTGCAATTGGGTTGGAATAACTTGCTTGAATGATTCTTCTACAGGAGATTCTAGCAGGGTGGTGAAATTTGAATTGACTGGGAAAAGGTTAATTGGCAAGTTACCTGAGTCTATGGGCAACTTGGATCAGCTTAGGACGCTCAACCTTTCCAGAAATTTCCTCAGAGGTTCGATTCCTTTAACATTGTTGCATCTGCCTAACTTAGAGGTCATAGACTTGAGTTTCAATGACTTTATTGGGCCCATTCCAGCCAGCATTAGCCTGCCTTCTCTTCGAGTTTTCAACATCTCTGAGAATTCGTTTTCGGGTTCTGTTCCTGTGGGAATTTGTAGTAACTCGACTAGAATTCAGGCTATGAAAATGGGGGCCAATTATTTCTCCGGGAATCTTGCACCTGGAGTTGGCAACTGTAGTAGTTCTTTGGAGGAATTATGCCTTGCATCGAATCTTGTTTCTGGTAGTTTACCTGAAGAGATGTTTCAGTTGAACAAATTGTCCAGACTGACTCTTCAGGATAACAGATTCTCAGGGAACCTCAGTGACAACATTGGTAATCTCTCTAGTCTTAGACAACTTGATCTTTCTATGAACAACTTTTCAGGATCGTTGCCAGATATTTTTCATAATCTAGGATTCTTGAATTATTTCGCTGCTCAATCAAATAAGTTTTCTGGAAGTATACCTCTGTCATTGGCCAGTTCCCCAAGTATAGCTTTTCTTACTTTGAGAAATAATTCGTTGGGTAATATCTTAGATCTTAATTGTTCTGCAATGGTCAGTCTTGTTGCACTTGATCTCGGTACCAATCAGTTTAGTGGGTCGATCCCTGCTAACCTTCCTGACTGTCCACAGCTGAAAACGATAAATCTTGCACGAAATAACCTTAAGGGACAGGTTCCAGAAAGTTTCAAGAATTTTCAGACCCTCTCTTACCTCTCCCTTTCAAATTCCAGCATTTCTAACCTATCATCTGCTCTTGCAACTTTACAGCATTGTAGGAACTTGACCTCTTTGATTCTTACTTTAAATTTTCATGACGAAGAATTGCCATCTGATTCTACTCTGCATTTCGGCGAGCTTAAAGCTCTTGTGATTGCAAACTGTAGACTCACAGGTACCATCCCTTTGTGGTTAAGCAATTCAAAAAAGTTGCAAGTGTTGGATTTGTCATGGAACCGGCTTGAAGGGAAAATCCCATCATGGTTTGGTGAGTTTCAGTTTCTATTTTACTTGGACTTGTCCAACAATTCCTTTTCTGGGGAGATTCCTGTAGAACTTACTGAGCTAGAGAGTCTTATTCATGGAAAAAATTCGGCAGATGACCCTTATCCTGAATTCCCATTATTCTTGAAGAGAAATGTCAGTTCTGGAGGATTGCAGTATAATCAAATTTTTAGCCTTCCACCCACATTAGAGCTTGGAAATAACTTTCTCACTGGATCCATTTGGCCAGAGTTTGGAAGATTGAAATATTTGATCTTTTTGGATCTGAAATGCAACAATTTATCAGGCATTATTCCCAGCAATTTGTCGAGTATGACAAATTTGGAGACTTTGGATTTGTCCAACAACAGCCTGTCTGGATCGATACCACCATCTTTAGTTAAGCTCAACTTCTTATCGAGGTTTAGTGTTGCATACAATAAACTATCAGGGGCTATCCCCAATGGAGGTCAGTTCGTGACATTTCCCAGTTCAAGCTTTGAAGGAAACCTGGGTCTTTGTGGCAATCATAGTTCCCCTTGCCCAGATAGCAACCAACTTCCCCGAAAATCATTTAGGAAGGAAAAAACAACAAGAGGAAGTATAATCGGAATGGCTTTGGGAATTAGCCTTGGTACTGTTTCTATCCTTGCTCTTGTGCTGGTGGTGGTTCTACGTTCGGGTAGGAAAGCTAGGAAAGCTATCGACCCAGAGGAGTTGAGCCATGCAACCAGGAAGGATTCATCAGAACTCGGTTCCAGTCTGGTGATTCTATTCCAAAATAAGGACAAAAACAGAGAGATTTCCCTTGAGGAACTTGTGAATTCCACCAACAACTTTGATCAGTCAAACATTATTGGATGTGGCGGCTTTGGTTTGGTCTACAGAGCCACCCTCTTTGACGGTAGGAAGGTTGCCGTGAAACGGCTTTGTGGGGATGGTGGTCAGATGGATAGGGAATTTCATGCTGAAGTCCAAGCACTCTCAAGGGCACAGCATCCCAACCTAGTGCTTCTACAAGGTTATTGCAGTTACAAGAATGACAGAATCCTCATCTATTCCTACATGGAGAATGGGAGTTTGGACTTTTGGCTACATGAGAAAACTGATGGCCCTTCATCATTAGATTGGGTCAGTAGGCTTCGGATTGCTCAAGGGGCAGCGAGGGGACTTGCTTATTTGCATGAATCATGTGAGCCTCATATCTTACATAGGGATATCAAATCAAGCAACATCCTTTTAGATGAGAATTTTGAAGCTCATCTAGCTGATTTTGGTTTAGCAAGGCTCATTCTTCCTTATGATACCCATATCACCACTGATCTCGTTGGGACATTGGGGTACATCCCTCCTGAATATGGCCAAGCTTCAGTGGCCACGTACAAGGGTGATGTCTACAGCTTCGGGGTCGTTCTTTTGGAACTTCTAACGGGCAGGAGGCCTATGGATATGTGCAAGCCCAGAGGCGCTCGTGATCTGGTTTCCTATGTGTTTCAGATGAAGAGGGATAGAAGGGCAAGTGAAGTTATCGATCCTTTCATTTATGACAAACAGCACGCAGAAGAGATCTTATGTGTTCTTGAAATTGCTTGCCTTTGCTTAAGTGAGTTCCCTAAAGCAAGGCCTACTACACAGCAGTTAGTTTCTTGGCTTGAAAACATACATTCAAAATCTTGTTCTGATTCCTGTTAGTATCTGCAAGGATAGAGCGCAAGATGCCTCTTCAGTTGGTCGTCCCTTTTGCTGTAAATCTCGTTCTGTAATATATATAGATTAGAACTGAGAGTTGAACAAAAAAAAAAAAAAGAAGCCAGTAAATGGCTCTTAATCTGGCCTTTAACTAAAATTCTTTTGAATAGTTCATAGTTGCAGTTGGTGGTTTCTTACATATTACAAGAATGTACTCCATCTGTTCCAGAATTATTGGTCTGTTTGCTGTAAGATTTTGGGATGGATGGAGTATATGATACGCGAATGTTATAATCATTTTGTATCTATATCCAAAATACCGTCTCTCTTGCTGTGGGGAAACTTATTACTCTTCTTGTGACAATTAACAAGCAACCTGCAGAAGTTCATTATCAAGGAAATCCAGATGCTTTTGTGGATGAGATCCTCCTCAAGGACGCACGGAAAAAGCTTTTCAGAGGATTACAATTGAAACAAGGGAGAAAAGGGAAAGGCATTTCATCATTCAACCAAAGCTAATTTGGGCGCGGGCGCTAAGTTTTGTTCATCCCATGAATGTCAGGTGAAAATTGGTAATACAAGTAAATCATACTACCTCTGTCCAAAAAAAAAAAAATAGTCCACATTGAGTTTTTAAATTTGTACTAAAAACACTACGAAACTCAAAACTCAATGTGGACTATTTTTTTGGGACGGAGGGAGTAATAGAATAGAGACATGTTCTTTCTAGTCATCCTCATACATTATATTATTGTTTGTTATATTTTGAAGGCGTATCACATTAATATCAGCTATTATAACTAGTGATATTTTATTTGGACATAATTGTAATAAAAATTACAGCAATTGTGGGAGAATCATGGAAATGAGGACTTCTGAGATTCGACGGTAAGCTTCTTGTGTGAGATGCAATCCATCCCAACTTATGTAACTACTTGGGTTTGGACAAACAGTGGATCCCGGTTTTCCGCAATTAAATAGAGTCCCATCGTAGTTATATGGGCCACCACTCCCGCAGCAAGCTTTGAATAAATTTGCCGTGTCAAAACCTGGACAGACAAGTCAATAGTTTGTTAGGCATAGAATAATGACAGAGACAGTGAATTATTTATATATCAAACCGGGTCGATTCAATTCACGATCGTTTACTTAATGGAATGATGTTTATCACGTACCAAGAATGGATGCACGAGAAAGAACTGAAATGAAAGCGCCGTAGTAGTCAGCATAGACAATGGTAACATTTGGGTATTGTACCCTCAGAGAGTTCAGAGCATTTTGGAGATAGTTATTTTGATATATAGCCAACTCATTGTAACTTCTTGCACACCCAAATTGATCCAACTGTTGCGGGTTTGTTGCATTGGTGTTGGCGATTAAGGTCAAAACAAATGGGAGGCAACCGATTGGAAAGTTTCCGGGAACCACTATTCGCCTCGCGCCAAGCCCTATTACGTCCTGCATCCATATCGATTAGTATTTTAAAAACTGGAGGGGATTAAATATAGACATTCCTGTAAAATGACTGTCGTGTTTGGATTCTCGAAACAATCATTTTGAGACAGAAAGGAATCGTATATACAATATACAAAAATTGGAGATTTTAATTAGGTGTGCATAGATTAAAAGAAGTTATGAAACATAGTCATTACTCTTATGCCGTTGACGATGGCTCCTGTGATGGATGGTATGTAAGTGTAGATCTCTTGAAGGGATCTGCCCTGTGATATTGGATAGTTGATGTCATTTCCTCCAATCTCTCCCAGAAACACCACCGAATTTCTTAGCTTGGTCAAGTATTCTGATATGAAAGTTACAGATAAAGTATGTGAAAGAAAAATTTCAGTAAGACGATGTAGATAATAAAGTTTACTCATTGAAATGATTTATTGAGGTATGTGTGGGTTAAAAGATAGAAAAAGAAAATACTCCATTTGTTCCAAAATAATTATCATGTTTGAATTTTGTAATGAGATTTCAAACTGAACCATAATTTCGAGACACAGAGAGAGAGAGTACTAAATACCGGTTGGCAAAGAACAGATAGAGGCCAAGTATTGTCTAAACCAATTGATTTGGCCGGGGAGGGGAACTACGGTAGGTGGAATCACAATCCCTTTCGGTACAAAGAAGGGAAAATCAAGAGCAGGAGAGCCGGCAACAGCAAAATTCACTCCATTGACGAAGGATGCATTTGTATCCAAGTACGGATTAAGAAGAGGTAGGCCAAGACGTATCGCTGAAACCATCCAGAAAAAAAAAAAGAAAAAAAAAATTGTTACATTTATTCAAATACTACTCCCGCCGGTCTTAATTATAAGATACTCCACAAATTAACATGCCTTATAATTAAGACCGCAAAGAGTATTACATTAGAACATTACACTAAAAGCGAAGTGTACCAATTTTCTTCAAAATATTGTTGAAGTGGGAAAAAGAGGTTACCAATAAAATCAATGATGAGAAGGCCATCGCACCAACGGCCGGTGGGTCCGCCGATAGTTATACCATAAGGAAGACGGGCAGCTGGAAGCGTCGGACCAACGACGGGTGTTCGGATTGAGTTTCCGGTATCAGCAAGCGAATCTCCTATTTGGTATAAGGCGTCGAACTTGGGTGGATACAAATTTGCAAAAGATAAACCGATGGGCATAAATAAGCCCAAAATGGCAACATAGTAGTAGAAGATCATTGAAACCATTAATTTTTTATTATTACTTTGCTTTTATCAAGTAAAAATGTATCTGTATATACAGTTATGGAGGTATTTATACAAGGAGGAGAAGCTAGACAACCTTAATAATTAGCCCATAACTTTATTTTTTCAACTTAGAATTTCATGGAGTTGCCATAAGTTGCCTAAACGTACGTATGCGGTAAGTAAGCTAGCTGCATTCATAGGTATGGGTCGATCTCGATTTCAAGGCGAATTAAGGAATTTTTTCATCATCTGCGCATGCAACTTGCGATCCAAGTTTGATTTGTGTCAACTTGGCGATGGTCGACCAATCAATGGATATGAAGAGTAGCTATGGGCCTATGGAGTTGACATTACTCGTTAGCTGTTTTGGCATTTTCTTTACCCTATAATAGATGTTGTATTCCCGCACCATATATGTGAGGAACTGAGGATCATAATTGGCAATTGATTAGTTAGCATCGATCCATTGAAGCAAAACTGTTAAAGTACTGTGTCAAAATAATGAGCAGGAAGTATTACTATGCACGACAGACTAGTTAATTTTGCAGGACAATCTTTTCGTCGACTTCTTTCTCGAGACCATATATATAGACGATAACGTCGACGAAATGCAAAATTTCTAATTTCGACCGAAGTTGAAGAAGATTCCGCCGAGTTAAGCGTTCGTCAATGTTATCGAGAGGACTAATATAGAAGTGAAGACCCGTTAGGGTTTTACTGTATTGATACAACAATATATATAGTGTACATGGCACTAACAAGATTACAACAACGCCCCTAAACTAACCCTAAAACATATACATTAACATCCCCGCAATCTGAACGGGAGGTAAACGAACATTCAGATTGTCTCGAAAATCAGTAAAAAGAACATGAGGCAAGCCTTTAGTCATGATATCGGCAAACTGATGAGAAGAGGGGACATGAAGAACTTGGATAGCACCTTGAGCAACCTTTTCACGAACAAAATGAATATCAATCTCTACATGCTTCGTGCGGAGATTTTGAACAGGGTTAGTTGACATAAAAATGGCACTGACATGGTCTTAAAGGGTGTCGGCTGTTTCGTCGATTTGAACAGAGTTCGCATTTGCAAAATTCAATGTCTTCAACAATTTTTTGGATGCAAATTCGAATAGAGTCTGCATTGGGCAAACGGAAGGTCTTCAGCAATTGTTTGGAATATAAATACAATCCAATACTTATTATCAAGAAAACCAGTTCAGAAATATATAATAATAATGGAGTTGCTAGATGCCAGTTTGCTGGTTCTGGCTTCATTTCTCCAACAACATTCATCCTTAACATCTTCATATGGACATGGAAAATGTTCATCATACGACCCTCAAGAATCTACTAGAAGGATGTTAATCATGGACGACAGCCATATATCACCAGTCCAACATATGGGATTGAAAAAGCAATTGCATTTTGAGTTCGCATCCAAAAGAAAACAAAAAGGTCTCAATCTAGCACTAGTTGGGAGGAACCCTTTGAAGCTTGGATGCCACAAGTGATGAAATCATCAGACAGATATACAGGGCGGAAACAAAGGTACGAAATAAATTAATTAGAGTTCTTCCTCTTTATTAGTCTTGAAAATGAATATTGAAGGATCTAGTAGTAGAGGGTTACTAGATCAGTTTCTTCCTACGTTGTATGAGCCACCACTCCCACAACAAGCTCTCAATAAATTTCCCGTGTCAAAACCTAGAAATATAAGTCCACAGTTTGTTAGGTTAAAGTAATGATCGAGACTGTAAAATATTATTGTTATTATTGTTTTTTAAGTAACGTACCAAGAAAGGGGGCCCAAGCAAGAACTAAAATGAAAGCCCCGTAGAAGTCAGCATAGACTATGGTCACATTTGGGTATTGCACCCTCAGAGAGTTCAGAGCATTTTGCAGATAGTTATTCTGATATATAATCAGCTCATTGATTCTCTCTGCACATCCAAATTGATCGAACTCTTGAGGATCTGGTTTACCGTTGTTAGAGATTAAGGTCAAAATAAATGGGAAGCAACCAATTGGAAAGTTTCCAGGAACCACTATTCGCCTCGCGCCAAGCCTTATTGCGTCCTGCATCCATGTCGAGTACGTAATGTTATGTTTTCAAAATTGGAGGAAATAATACAAAGTGTGTGTAGAGATCTTAATTAATAACCAAAGTGGTTGTGGTGAAGTGGAAGGGACTCCTCCACCTTTAACCATAGGTCGAGGATTCGAACCTCGCTATGAGCATGGAGCAACCTTAAATACTTTGGCCAACTGTCTCACCCATCGAGGTACCTATAATTCAACGAGGGAGAAGATTAGTCACTGTTACCGATGGTGGACACCATGTAAATATGCAAAAAAAAAAAAGAGAGATCTTAATTAATTAATTAATTAATGTGTATTTATAGATGAAAAGAATTTTTGAAATGTTGTTGACACCGATTTTATTTTAAAATCGCAACGGCCCAACAAATGTTGTGTATTGGCCCACATTCTTGTAACGCGGCAAGCCAAACTAAGGCGGAGAAGGAATCCAAGCATGATCCGATTACAATTGTAAATCGGAAACCTACTAGGAAACAACAATTGCACCACTCAAAGGGAATTGCAGAATCCTATATAAAGAGAGCTAGGGTTCTATTGTAAAAAACAACTCATCATCGCACACAAAACTACAAAGTTGCAAAAGCTCTTTTCTCTTCACATTCTTATTTTCTAGCACTCTATTATTTTTCACAAGCTTTTATTTCGATTTACATTATTGTATTTCATTTTGCTCTATCGATTTCTTAGCCAATTTTTTCTTTTGAATCCCTTTTATTACAATTTTAAGTCCTTTCTTTATATCTAGTCTTATATTACACTTTGCAGATTACACATAATCGCTTGAAAGTGTTTAAGTGCGTATTGCTTATTCTCTTGACTATTTTTCGCACAAACATAAATTGGCACACCCGGTGGAACAGATTTGCATGTCTCGACTAGGTTTAAAGCCAATAGAATTGCTTTGAAAAAGTCATGTTGACAACAACAGCTGCGACTTCTATTTCGATAGGAGTTATTTCTTCCGGTATGCCAATAACCGAAGCGGCGAAGTCCACCAGAGAAAAAGGAACATCATCAACTCTTTCCATACCAATGTCAGGGGTTTTGACTCTCCCGTTGAACCGGAATTTGGATGCTGAGTTGGAAAACTCTTACCGTTCTCAGTTCCGCCACCATCCAGACATGGATCAATCTTTAGAGTACGGAACTTCATTGCTAAACGCCCAATTAGGGTTGGACCAATGGGGGCGCACTAATGAGTCAGGATACAATACACCCCAAAGCCTTGAGTAGATTATTATTGGCCAGCAAAATAATACAATCACTAGCATGTTGGCTCGTATCGCAACGTTGGAACAATCACTTCAGAAGGTCAATCCTAATGGAGCGTCAATACCTGAAAATCCACACATAACTCCCAATATGTCATCAAAAATGCTGATACCGGACCCATCTACAGCACTTACACATGATAACCCTTTGTTTTCTAATGCCTCGACACTAGTACAAGGGTTATCAACAGGCAGAATCGGCCAGATTGGGGGAATTCCAGAAAACACACCAATACCAAATTTTAGTTGATATTGTCGGGTTGAGCCAAGTCACCCAGCATTCACTCCTCCAGCTAGAAATTTTACCTTTGATGGTTGTCCATTACCATATTACGGAACTTATCACGATTTGTCCGTTGGTTTCGGAGAAACACGAACAATTCCAGCCATGAGATGGCCTCCAAGAGCCCTAGGATATCCAACAGCAAGTGTATTTACACCTCCCAGAGGCATAGTGCTGCCACCCAACGATTCCACTAAACCCTTTGAATAGGCAAAATGTCCAGGGACAAGGTATGAAGAGCGCGCAAACACGTGCAATATCAATAGGATAGCATGAAGGAGTACACATATTCTTATGAGTCGAAAGATATTTCCAATGACTGTATGTATGTATTATACTCTTCTTCTCGATAAAAGTCCCTAGAGATATTAGAAGGAGATAATTTTATTATTTTCATAAAATCTGAATTATCCAATTATTATTGTAAGTTTGCAACAATTAAAAAAGAAAATCAAGTGGGAAGAGGATCCAAAACAAACCACCAGGGTCATTATATTTAGGCATGTAATATTTACAAAGAAAATAATTTTAAAATTAATTTTTGGGTGTCACCAACAAAGTTAGACTTTGCACCTATTATTTCATTTATGGGTGTTTCGAACCAATTCCGAAATCAAATATAGTACTCCTTTTGTTCTAAAATAGTCTAGTTTTGAATTTTGTATTATTGTTACTACATATTTAAAAAATTCAAGATAGACTATTTTGATGGAATGATGGAGTAATAATTAAAGTATTACCGGAATGTAAGTGTGTAACCTAACCTAAAAGAAATTGATAGCAAGAAATGTTGTAATTTGGGGGAAATGTTGAGGCAAAAATAGAATTATACCAAAATGAAAGAGTTGAAAGTGACACATATTCAAAATCAAAACAAATCATTCCGCG